CTGCAAGACAAATAGCTTTGAAATGGCTTTTACAGGCCAAGTCAGAGCTGTAGATTTGTACTTGTGCCTGGCAAGATCATGGAGCAGATCCTCCTGGAAACTCTGCTGAGGCACATGGAAAATAAGGAGGTGATTGGTGACAGCCAACATGGCTTCACTAAGGGCGAACTGTGCCTGACAAATTTGGTGGCCTTCTATGAGGGGGTTACAACATTGGTGGGTAGGGGGAGATCAACAGATGTCATCTATCTTGATTTATGCAAAGCATTTGACACTGTTCTGGAAGATATCCTGGTCTCTAAACTGGAGAGACATGGATTTGACCAATGGACCGCTGGGTGGATAAGGAACTGGCTGGACAGTCACACTCAGCGGGAACTTCACCAGACTTCCACAGCTTCTCAAATATGATGGATAGTAGCTTAGTGACTTCATCTGCCAGTTTGCTCAGAACCCGCAGATGAATCTCATCAGGTTCCATGGACTTGAGCACCTTTAGGTTCCTCAGCTGAAGACCTTCAGGTCGTCTGCAGCGGGTGGTACCTCATTCTTGCAGTCCCTGTCTTTGCCTTCTGTAACTTGGGCAGTGTGGGTAGAGTCCTTCCCAGGGAAGACTGAGGCAAAGAAGTCATTGAGTATCTCAGCCTTCTCCATGTCCCAGGTGACCAGGTGTCCCGTTTCCTTCCCCAGCGGGCCCGTGTTTTTCCTAGTCTTCCAGGAGTCCAGTCCCAGAGCAGGAGAAGATGCTCACGTTTCAGATGAAGGGCAGAGCCTGGGGAAGGCATCACATTTTGCACTGTGCCTTCATGATTGAACAGCCAAACACTTCTTCAACGTATCCCTCGATACAGAGATGTATCTCGCAACAATACTTTTTCCCTCAACACGTGGTTTAAAAGGGGAGAACAGGGTTATATAGAAGTTAACTTGGGAATAAGCCTGAGGAGAAACACAAAGCTACAATGGACACATCAATCCACCCTGCCTTTTGCATATACATTATTTTGGGTTCCCCCCCCACACACACACACTAAAACACCCTTCCACCACTGACCTCCTGAGATGTAATGTAAGAATCATAGAATGGTTTAGGTTGGAAAGGACCTTGAAGATCATCGAGTTCCAACCCCCCTGCCATGGGCAGGGACACCTCCCACCAGACCAGATTGCCCAAGGCCACGTCCAGCCTGGCCTTGAACACCTCCAGGGATGGGGCCCCAACAACCTCTCTGGGCAACCTGTGCCAGTGCAATAATAACCTATATGTAATATAAATTATTTGTAAAGGTCCTCCCACGTTTAGAGTATTTTTTTCCTTATGCTGTTGCCAGTAGAAGTTCAGGTCCCTTGAATGGAAAACCCCTTAAACACCACAGGGTCTACTGCTCATGAGGCTTTGAGGTCACACACATTTTTAGTCCTAAAAGCAGATGGGGGTGACTGTTGTAGAGCAGAATTTTTTCTTCCCCGTGGCTTGTTCCAGCTCTGATTGTGCAAGTTCACATTCTCTACTTCTTCTGTTCAGTAGCACCCTGAATCTGATTTGAGCTCCATGCACACGTTTCTCAGGTCAAACCTGCTGGAACATTTGTCTGTGTTTTAAGAGAACGGTCTTCACATTCCTAAGTTAAAGCTGCCCCTAATTGTGTCAGGCCTCTCGTCAAGCACCGCCCTTCCTTTCCTTCCTCTCAGAAACACAACACACCACTTACTTAGATACAAAAAAACCCAACCATGGCTGAAAAATCCCTACTGCTTTTGTATCTCATGTCACTCTCAACCCTGGACACGGGCAAACGCTGAAGATCTACTGCAATGTGACGCTACCGGAAAGCGCTTGCAAAGGCTAAATGTCACCAGGCTCCAACTCGAGCATTCTCCATATAGTTCAGCTCATCTGATGACAGCAGTTTCCATGAAGGCTGTAGGAAGCCTGAGCACTCCCCACTGCCTTTTTGGAGCACTGTCCCAACCACATTCCCCACCCCCACAAGTCTTCAGACTGCCCACCCTACATACTTCCCACGGAATGCACAATGAGGGGTACGGGGCCATCGCTGTGGCGTAAATGCCGGTTCACGCTGCACCAGCAGTTCTGTTGGTGCCATAGAACTAGAGATTAATAACTGTCTCCAACTCCGGTCTCACCTGTTTTCTTCTCCAGCATGCTGACACTTGGCTTGTGCAAGAAAAAGAAGGTCCAGAAGCCAGATCAATTTAACACTGGTTTTGGACAGACTTGTGCTACAATGGTACTACTGCACCTCCCCAGTCGTAAAGACAAGGATTTAAAAAAAAAAAAAAAAAGAAGGCAGGGATAAAAACATGTGTAACAGAGTAAGACTTGTACAGTACTTGCTCTGGATTTCATTTTTTGCAGGCTCCTAAGGACACAAATCAGGACTGGCTCAGCCATATTACTTCAAACTGAGGAGGTAGTTTATCTGAACAGAGCATTTACAAGCCTCCCAAACTGTAACAAACAAGAAAAAGCAGTATCCTGAAAGATGAAAGTCAGATATGCAGTTAAGAAGTCAGTAGCAAAGAGGACCACTTCACTTAACCTCCTGATCAGAAAAGCACTGTTATGTTGCCAATGATAGTGTACATGTATTTATATAATATTCTAATACGTTCTTTTCAAGTAAGATGTTCTGGTGAAGGATAAGAGCGCAGGAGGAAAAAAAAAAGTTTGTAAATGGTTCAGGTTCAGTAAATGTTATTAATCTCCTTCTTCCTCATTCAGGTACACACAGCTACTGTGCAATGTCTTGGACCGCTTCCCAAATACACACACTAACCTTTCAACTGCACGCTGACAAGACAGACCCAAGTGTTTTGAACACAGATTATCACTGTTAATGACATCTGCCATCTTATCCATTTCCTCTCTTTTCATTTTTATTAACTGTACATATTTTAAACTTATATGAAATAGTATAGATTTTAGAATTCATTATTCTTAGGGCAAGGAAAACATAGATGAGGCTATTTGGGAGCACTGACAATAGAGGCAATTAAAATGTATTTCCAATAACTAACTTTGATTTAAGGTAATTGCAGTAACTGAACAATCAGAATCGAAACAGTAGAGCAATGTGATCCCCCCCCAAAAAAGCCAAATCAGTAACAGAAATGGTGAAAAGCACATCCCAATTTGAGGTTATTAAGACTTAATCAATTTCCATGTGCAACCAACTTCAGGAATGAGTTCAAGATATTTTTAGCAGTGTTTTAACATTTATTTATACTATATTCCTAAGTGTAGTATTTCTTTTATGTGGTCCCTGGATAATATTCAATAGCTTCATTAGGTTTTCAGTCAAAAAGGCACAAACACCAAACCTCTAGCAAGTTACCATATGTTTCTGTGCTAGCTGTATGGAAAATAAAATCATAGGCCCCAAGTGAAAACTCATTGTGGGAAATAATTAAAATGGACAATTCAGAAAACTTTACAAAAATACTTCTTTTTATTAAAAGCAGCAATTTCAAGCAGAACAATACACAGAATGTAAACATCACTAAGTTCAGCTCCAGCCTGCCGAACCTTTGAGAAAGTCTACACTAAATGCGTCTACCGTACTAGCGAGTTAACAGACTATATTATAATTTGAAAATATATTTTCTACTTTGAATTAGGAAAAAGTAATTTATCGTAGTCTGTCCCAGCGCCAGATACTGGCATCATCACACACAGCTATAAGGATACTACTATCCCTGCTGAAACTGGTTTGTCGAATGGCAGCAACGCATTTAGGATGAGTAAGAGTCGTACACCTATAAATAAAAGAAAGTTATTCAGCTGCAACGTTAAATCTGCACTTACTACTACATTACAGAGCACTGTTTCACCAGCCTCTGATTTATGTGACCGAGGAGGAATTGAAAGGGCAATAGGACTATGCCCTTCATGGCATATTTTGTATTCCAAATGTGGACCTGGAATAATTTCCTGTTTACTGCCTTTTCTCATCCACCCAATTTTCACTGAAGCACTGACTGAAAGCTCATTGAATCACATTATTTAGGACTTGGTAATCAATGTTCTTTCCCAGCGGTTAGGAATAAAATATCGTAATTGGGTGATTAAAGACTGCAGCATTTTCAGGACCTTCATACGTTTATATGTGTGTATATACACACACACACATTATATAGATTATATACACAATGTAAGTATATCTTATGTATTATATAGTCTATATACATTTCATACACATAATGTTTGGGGGTTTTTTGTTTTTTTTTTATATATATATAAAATAAAAGACATGCTGTAAAATTGCCTGGCCACACATTTAAAGCACTGGAAAGCCATACTGTTTCCTCCACATTACACTCATAGCTAAACTTTATATTCTCATTATTCTAGTCCTTTCACGTATTTCTCCTTTGTCATACGCTACACCCACCCAGCACATCTTAATTTCACCTAATTAGTTTTTAAGTTCTTTGAGGAACTAACTGTGTTTTACTATATCTATGGCACTCAGCACAATCCAAATGGGGCCTCTGGGCACTACTGTAATATAAATAATAAATCAGTAAAAAATAATAAACGTTTACCTTCAGGGGCTCAGAATGTTCACTTACCTACTACTTAAAGGGGAATGTGACTAGTACTATTAAAGAATTTCTACAGTTATCAGTAAAGGAAAAAGGAAATTACCTCAACTCCCTGTCTTAAAAATAAAATTAAAAAAAAGTAAGTACTCACTTGGCTTTATGAGGATCCTCTATTTCTAAATCCCAAACATAAAGTTTGCCAACTTGATTGCCCAGAGCAAGCATCTTTAAAAGAAAGCAGAGGATATAAAAGTTTTAAAATACTATCTCAAAGAATGGAAGTCAGAATTTTATAAAGGCTTTTCAGCTGACAAATTGTGTCTTTTTAAACACGAAGGACTTAATGACTTTGTTGGAGGGGTTACAAATGCTATAAAATTTGCCTCTTTTTCCTCACTTTATTATCCATCTCTGTGGATGGGGGAGGAAGACATCAGTAAGCATAGCTTTGGTGGAAAATAAATATTTATTTGGTGGAACTTTTTCCACCAGGCAGAACCCAGAATGAAAAATCTGGAGCTCCTCCAGTTCCATATAAAGCCCCTTGCAGAAAACCATTCTGTTTCTCAAACATCACATGAGCCAAGTCTTTTCCCGTGCCCATAAACACAGACTCAATGAAAAGCGACACACCTTCAAATACAGCAAAGTCAAAGCTCACACATACCTTTTGCCAGAAATCCATTGAAAACCTCATGTACCATATATCACACTGGCTGTAATCAAATCTCCCAAGTATGGTCACATTTGACTCGCTGGGCTTGATTTTATCTATATCATCTTCCATTTTGCCAGGTTTCCAGCACACAATGGCATTTTCACAAGACTGGGGGGGAAACAATGAAAAAAAAATACCTATATTTATAATTTATACTGCACATTCTGTTTAAGTATAATTATAGCCAAACATTTCATCTCACAGCTTCCCTAATGACATTAAAAAAGTACAACTGAAAATTTTACCTCTGTCCTTAGATCACAGCCACGTCACCACCAACGCATCGCTGCCCAGCGCTGGGAGCCTGCTGCCCTCACAGCTTTGCCAGGTAACAGGACTGCAGGTACCCTCCCTCACCCGCTTCAGAGGAAGTCAACCAGATGTGCCTCAAACACACTTTCACGAGCAGTTTAAATTAACCTTGGTTTGAGGATTGTTCACCCAATCTTTTCAACCAACAGGACCGTGCACGCACCGATCTCCGGCAATGAGGCAGTTGGACCACCTAGTTTAATATCTGCAAGCCAATGCTACTAGTGGATGCAACACTCTAATCAAAGTTACACCATTATGGGAACCCTCATTTCTGCCTTTAGCAGCAGGATCCCTCATCAGTATCTCTATATTCTCTTTCTGTACATTCCATGCAGATTCTGGTTAGCTGGTATCCCTGTACTTTTAGCAGAGCTACAGCTGTAGCAATAATATTACTTTTTAAGTACAAGCTACTTATTCGCACATCATAACAGTTGACAAAATTCACAATACAGTCCATAAGATAATTTGCACAGCATACATACACACCATACAGCACAGCAAGTTAACCTAAGACCCAAATTCCAATAAAACTTCTACTGTTTAAAGATCCCCCAAACAAGCAAATATGAGTCATATAGCTGAAAAAGCCGCCACTTTACCTTGGAAAGAATTAGATCTCCCAACCATCGTACACAGTCAACATAGTTTCTATGTATGTCTCTCGTAGAAAAGTCAGGAAAGTGAATTTTCTGGGAAATAAAAGGCCTATAGAGAAAATTGCCAAGTGAGGTCCAGAAAAACAGAGAAGCACAAGTCTGATTTTTAATGGCCAGTTTTAAGATGTTAACAGGACAAGCCTGTCTTCTTTGTTGTTTTAACAGTTTTACAACAAAGTCGATTTTGTAAGTCGAGTTGTTTGGGCTTTTTTTTTAATATTGGGAACAGTTCCTGTTTTCATCCTCATTCCTACTGAAATAACATTTCCCACTGTAGAAGACTGTGCAGAGACAGCGCTAAATAAAACCACTCCTTCAGAGCTTAAGAGAGCTTCCATTGCCAAATGCTTCAAGAACTAATTAAAGCCCAGTTTTCCCGATGCTGCTTCTGCAATATCTAAACTGTTAAACAGAAAAGCACACTAAAACAAAAAAACCCATCATTTAAAAAAAAAAAAGCACACTAAAAAAGCATCTTTTAATATTTGGTAACATTACCAAAAAAAGGCAAGAGTATTTTCACAGCTAGTCTCATTGCTGAACATGTTCAGTGTGTTTTAGACTCTTCTATTCTCTCAATGGTTTAACTGGAAGTTAAGATTAAAAAGTTGATGAACTTCATAAAGGAGGATCTACCATGTCCCTAATTGCTATGTTTACTTGACAATTTACTCCTATCTCAGGCCAAATTGGAGAATCATGAATATTAACGTTATTACCACATAAACAGTTTTGTGCCCATCCCGAAATCAGATAGCAGATACAATAATTAGTAGTAACTACCCAATAAATAAATCATTTGCTATATTTAATTACACAGATTTGATTCCTTCCTAGAAGTTTTGAGGTGAAAGAAAAGCCACTGCCATCTTGAAACACAGTGAAATACAAGCTTTAAGAATGACAGAGATAATTCCAGACATTTTCTAGTCAAGCAGATAAGCAATTATTAAGATTTTAAAAATAAAAGTGTCAGGACTTTAAATCTGAATTCAATAAAATTCTACTGAAACAAACATCAGTAAGACACATCTTCTAGACAGATTCAGTATCCAGCACAATCCCCAGGTCACTCAGTATCCCCAAGAACTCCCAATTTGGATAGGAATTAACCTGGGCCATTGATAAGAATATTCATATTTTGCCAAGACAGCCAAGAAGATGCGGGCTACGTACCTGTTGGTTTTATTTGGGTTGTACTCATAAGACTCTTTGATGGCATTTATCATTCTCTTTGAGTTAATTCTCCAGAGTTTTAGAGAGTGATCCATCCCACAGGACATGATTTTTTCACCAAGAAGATCATAATCCTATGTATACGAAATAATTTTGAGGACCCCCAGCCTAAGCTGCATTATATCAACTCAGATTTTATCCCATTATTTCCATCAAAACAGCATTTTTGGCTTAGAGAATGCAATATAACTCTGTATTTCAAATAGAACAACAACTAACAACTTAATCCTACTCACTGCAAAGCAGCACAGTATCTTAATAATTATATCTACTCTTTCTCAAGAAAGAGGCATATTCAACAGCACTGACAAACAGTGGATCTACTGCTAGTGCTCTCCCCTCAGTATATTCCCTAGGTTTCATTTTACAGAGCAACTTTGGCAGAATTCCAGGGCTACGACATGGATGATGACTATTTACAACCACAAGAGAATAACATGCTGTCAGGTTTCATATAGATGCACCCCTCACCTTTCAGGTCACACAACAGGAACAGAAAACAGTTCTTAAAAGCAGCATATTAAAAGTCAACTATTCTATTTCGTATTTGCTGGGTACCAGTGTCTGTCCACAGCCACTGAAAAGCAGCATAACTCACCTGAGATAACTTCTTTCCTTCACTACCATCTCTCTCAAGGTTTATTTGCTCTTGCTGCTTTGCTGTGATAAGACCTCAAGAACTTCAAAAGTGGGACCATCATGAAAACTTTTTACTCTTTCTAGCCCCACTGAGCTCTACTTTTTTTTTTTTTAAAATTCTAGGCTGCACTAGAATTTATCTAGTGATAAAACTAGTTACTGAAACATACAGAAAGTGAACACCTGTCCTGTACATTGAGAGGTGGCCAGATCAAGCAAACCACCTTAAATTTAAACTTGTCTATCCCCTTAAAACCGTATTTATGCACTTCAGGATTTTTTTTAATTAGATGTAATATCAAAAACAGTGCACAAGAGGATAAAAAGTTGCATATCGTAGGCTTACTACCCTCTGTAAATCTAAATCACTGCCCCACAGTCTTCCACTTACTGCACTTAACACCTCATCCCTGTGCCCTTCTACTCCTCCAAATATTGCAACCAGCGTGTCTGTCTGGATGTTCCACAGTCTCAATGCATGATCTATAAAGAACAAATAAAATTACAGGCTGCTTTTTATATGTACATATGAATAATATATTTCAGCTTAACCACTTTATTCAGCTTAACCAACAGGTCTTCATGTAAACATCAAAAAGGCACTTAATTCTTCTTCACTTGTTAGAAACAATGAAACTGCATTAACTAAATTTGCCATTACAACTAAACTCCTGTTATAGCAATCTGTAATTCAGAAAGTGTGCCCACCCTCCTCCCCTAAGGCCAGCTTCTAGCAAAAATGTACTTGGATCTTTAGATCATCCAAAAAGTAAAGAAGAGTCTGATCTTGGACAAGTATGCTTTTATTCAGTCTTATCTCAAAAATAATTGTATATATCAAAAAATGCTAGAATTCCTTTCAGCCATTCTTACATCAGCATTCAGAGAAGTTTTGATTTTCCATTTTTTTTAATCTTTAGAGTATTATTCTTTATGAGCTACAGACTGTAGGAATGGAGAAACTGTTTCTATAAACAATATGTATCCTAAAGTCTATTGGACTAATCCACTTGTTTACAGAAAGTTGTAACAATTTTTAATGAAGAACCTCTACTGTATTTGCCATTTGGAAATGAGAACCCCTAGTGCATTTCCCTTTTGGATTCCACAAGTACACTGCACTGAATTACAGCAACGCCAACTGGAAAGCCACACAGTCCCAAGTTTTTCCCTCTTTTCCTACTCATCTCTCCGCCAAGCAGTTCTGAGACCCTACTATTCTACTGCCTCATGCCCTCTCAGAGGGAGCACCCAGCCCAGAGATTGCACATTAAAACTCATAGTACTACTGCTGATGTCAAAATGTTATTAAGAGAACCTATAAACTTATACAGGACTCAAGAAATTCAACCTTACAGATCCAGAGCACAAACTTGACAGCTGAAAGAATCAGAGGTTCTCAACTCCTATTCTTGTGTAGTTTCATCAGTAATACCAAATACACTAAAGTCCCCTTATTTGAAGGTTTCCAACTCTAGGATTCCTGATGACTTACTCTCGTGGCAGATCAAGTATTCCCTTACTTAACAAAACAGTCAAGATTAGGAAGTTGTGACTGTTTAGACATTCTGGACGAGCCCATAAGACACCATACCAAAAACTCACTTCTCGCTTCACCAATATGCTTTTTACACAAAGTCCAGTTAAAGTCAGAGCTGCTCCTAAGTGACAGAGAATCAGAGTTTTCTCCACGAACACAGTGGTGAATGCTGTCTGCGATATTAAGACATCCCCACTAGATGGCAACATGAGTCAACAACTGAAAAAAATTTCACTCGACTGTCAGAAAAGAGAGAGCAACCCCAATGTTTATGTTTCTTCTTTCCTAAAAGCAGCACTGTTCACAATCCCTTCGCACCACAGGTGGAGTTATGTTTATTGTAGGCCATGGATTTAATACGTACAAGATATATAGCCATAAAAGAGCAAGATTTGCTCTAGACTTTCAAGGTAAACTTGTTCAGTGCCATTCATAAAAAATTCATGGAGGTTTTGGCCATTTTCAAGACCAAAATTCAATCCAAAGCATTCTGATTTATATAAAAAAAAAAAAAACAAAAGGAAAGAAAGAAGTTATTTTCCTCACCTTTGCTTACAGATAAAAGGAGATTTGGATCTCTTGGATGGAATTTCAGTTCATTGATTGCATTTCCATGGCCCACGTAGTGCTGGGACAGAATTCAGAGACCAAGTTATCATTTCCCCGCATGTTTATACGTATTTAGAAGACATAAGTTTCATGCCTTACTGAAACACAAGCTGTATCTTGCAGTCTGGAGCACTCACCTTTATGCACTGCATTGTAATAGGATTAATTATCCTAATAATACCCCTGGACCCTGCCACAGCCAGAAGAGGATGGCTTGTATTGCTATCATATGTCCATGCACAGGTATAGAAATTTTCATCTGCCTATAACATCTCACATTAAGGAAAATAGAAGAAACAGGAATTATTTCTTTTCAACAATGTGATTTTTTATTATTTTTTTTAAGTAAATTTGTTGCTATTTTATGCCCAGGAGTCTCTGCTCGACCCAATAAGAAAAAGATACATATTTGATTACACATCTGCAAACATAAGTGACATCACCTTTTCTAGAGATGCCAGTTTCCTCACTTCTGTTCCATAACATACAAGGAACACCTGTGCTCTCTTGGCATCACTTTTCAACCTCTTTCTCCAAAACATCTGAAGACTGGGAATAAAACAAGGATGAATCAAGTTTGAGTTTGCAAGTTATTGACTTGTATGCTGCAAATGATCAACACAAATTATTACCACTTCAGAGCGTGAAATGTAATTCTTCAGCTTTAAACCCAGTTCCAATTCACAGGGAAACAGAGACCACTGTAAAGCAGTAAATGTGAAACGTTACACAGATATTAGCGTTGGGAAGATTAAACTGATGGAGAATCGGTTTTCAAATATTTTAATACAGCGGTTTTAATCTTTTTTTCAAAAAGAGGGAATCTATGGTCTGGGAAAGAGGCAAGACTTAGACCTAACATAAGGAACGTGCCACATAAGAAAAGTATTAAATCACAGACAAAACCTTCATGTGCTTTTTGCTACGCAGCCTCTTCATTTTTGATAAAGAGGACACAAACAAGTGGCTTTTTGACCTAAAAGGATACATCAGCATCCACATAGGACTGCAACAGACGGATTTCTCCTTGGGAATGACATTCATATAAAGTAACCTGGAGAGGAGAAAAAAAAAAAAAAAAAAAAAAAGTGGGACAGATTGCTGCTTACTTGTGATATTTCAAAAGGAAATCACATGCACCTGTGTATTCACTTCCTGATGGGGAGAGGTAGTGTGCCTTTATGGTTTAGATCTCATCCATCATCAGTTTGTTTCTAGCAGGTGGAAGTGGTTTGATAAAAGAATGCTCACAGCAGTCTCAGTAAAGCACCACTATAGGACTTGTCAGCAGTCCTTCCCAGCTATTGAAATCTATTATTTGAATTGCCTTAGTAAAATTGAACTCTATTTGGAATTAGTTACTGCAGTCATCTCTAATGTGGCTTGGTCTTTTAATGAGACATTGATACCTTGTTTAATCTTAGTTTAGCACTTTTGGTAACTGCCAAGTGGAACAAACCTGGAAATGAAAGGTTTCTTGTTTATTCACAACACTTGCACAGAATGCACTGCAGGAGTTATTTTCACGACTGAAGTGACATAGGTACTTGTTCAGAAAAAGCCTATAAATTTACTCCAAGCAGGCCATTAATTTAGCTACTGAGCTGCCTGACATCATTGCAGACACTGCTCATCCCATTTTAGAGCATGTGACCTTTCGGAAACAATAACATCTAAGAAGAGTAATTTTAGGGAAAAGATAAAATTTATGCACCTCTTTTCCTTGTCCCATGTTTACACTACCGGAGGGGTTTTTTCTTTACTTTACTATATAGGCTAATTCCCAAATAGCTAACGCATGGCTTCAGAAAACAATCCAGAGGATGCAAATCTCCCAGATAACAGATGCTACATACCTCAGAAATAAAGCTTTCTATATGAAGTATCCTGTGTCTGTACTAAACATGGGTAAATGGATGGGTTGGGGAAAAAAAAAGAATGCAAGCGGAACCACACGGAAGGGTTTATGGTTAAAAACAGATTACTCACTCTGTTGCTGCCTACAGTGGCAAAAACAAGAGGATCACCTTCTTTACTGTGCCAGTTAAACTGGACTCCAAACAAAGGCTGACCATGGTCCTCCTGTAGATGTAAAGTAAGATTAGACACACAAAAAAATAAAACCCACAGGCGTATTATTTCTGTGAAATTCAGCTGTGGTGGTAAACAGTTTAATTGATATGTTTTCCTCGTCAAACTACTGGGTTCACATCCATTACAGTTTCAGAGGGTGAACAATTAAAAAGAATAGTTTTGTAACATTGCATTTTAACTTGGCTGCCTTAAGGGAGGTTAAAGGAATATTCTGACACCCTCCCTCTCTTCTTCCCCCACCAAGCTTTTTAAAAGTGAAGGGGGAGAACTGTTGTCTCACAGTTATGGCCAGAAGCTGGCAGAACTCCCAAATTACATTTGCAGCTCTACTACTTTGTTTTGCAATTTTCAACAGAGGCAACTTCTGCGTCTAAGGCTACATCCATATGCATTTTATACTGGTATAATTACTTCCACACAAGGATTTACAACTTCACAGAGAAGAATTATTAGGACAGAGAAGAATTACACTGGTATAAGGGTGAAGAAGGGCCACATTGAACTATTACAGCACAGTTAGGTCTTGCAACTCTATCACAGACACGATGAACTCTCTGCAGCATGTCACAATGCTGCTGCAAAGTTCATGTCTACAAAGTGTTTTCAGATCGCCTTCACAAACACTTACCAGAGAAATGCCAAGTATTATTTTTACACAGCTTACATCAGTTTAATAAAGAAAAAAAAAAAGCAGATATGTTTATGAATTGTGATGAATATGGTGGTGCTTGTTAATAATTGATAACAGTATTTTGGCCTGTCCTGACAGGATGTTTTCAGTAAGAATAATGTTCATTAAAGTGCCTCCCCACAGGGGACTGTCTGGGACAGCACAGGCAGGAAGGAAGTGTCTCATGACGGCTGTTAAGCAGCCTTCAAATGGCAGTGCTTCAGAGACTACAGGAGAAATATTAGCCCTGGCAGCTCTGGCCTACCCAAGAACTGAAGAATAAATTTGAGGAGGGGGTGTGGGTGGGGAGTGCAACACTCCTCAGAAAAGTATGGAAGTCTGGAATAATTTTAAATAGTATTATTTACTGAGAAAGGCAGTATCCGTTATTAACAGACATAGCTAGATGAGCTAGAAAGAGAAGGGAGAAATTCTTTCAGAGATGAAGGCCCTCCTGCAATTCTCAGAGTTGGTAACAACTTTTGAAGCTGAATACAGATTAAAAAGGATTGTTCAAAGTTTAACTCGAAGCATTACGCATCATAACATGAAAGAACAAACTAGCGGCTTTATGCGATGAGCAATATGGGATATTAGCAAAGGAAAAAGCAGCAAGGTTATTAGCGACCCCAGAACAGAAGGAAAAAGCAGGTATTCAGCATCTGTAAAGGATTATAGTTTAATTAGACATTGAGACTGAGGAAAAATACATGCCATAAAATTGCATACACAAGGCCATGGTTTTTAGTGTCCAATGAAGTTATGAATTTTACTTTCTAGGCTTATTTTTTTTGAGTGTATTTAAGTCTTCCTTGAAAAGAATGGCTGAGAGGTCAAATACAGAACACTTTAAAAAAAAATATTCCACTAATAATTAGTTGGTTTTGAATTTCTGTGTGAAAGAGTTCATGCTGGTAAATACCAAGGGCTTTTGACATACTGCATGAAGACACCACGGGTAAAATGCATGGATGCTTACTGCTTTATTACAAAGACATACTTGCAAGTATTGCACTTACTGCTTTATTACAAAGACATATTTGCAGGTTTTGCACTTGTTTTTCTGGAACAACTTTGTTCTTTGTCAGGTGCACTGTTTCTGATAAATTTAGAGAAATGGGAAAAGTGAAGAGGAAGTTGTTTTCCTCCCTCAAGACAGGATATTTTTCCAGCATAAGTTGTAATGAATTTATGATTTTCTAGGTAAGACCCAGACTAGGGTAAAACATTACAAGTAGAGAGATACAGAGGGCTGTACTGTTTCTGTATTTCTATATTTGAGTACATACCTAAAGTATTTTGTAAGCTTTTTTTCCAGGGAAATAGGTTGTCTTTGAAAAGTTACCCTGCGAGACAAATGTCTTTAAACTTCTTACATCATCCATGCTACATTTATCACATCGAGTGCTACAACCTCCAAAACCTCCACATATATCACAGGTTTTGGTGTTTAATGGATGAAGAAGTAAGGCAAAGGCTCTTACAGGAAGTCGCTAAGGTGTATGAAGAGGTTATGCTCACCTCATTTAAACTACCATCATCCTCACTGGTCAGAGACAGCACATAGCTATTTTGATAATACCTGTCTACTCTAATTTTTGCCCCAAGTGCTAAACAATGAAGCAGGTTTTAAAAACATTATACTTTCAGGTGCTGCACATAATAATTATCCTGAGATGTGAAGTATGTCATGCAAATCTGACCACTGGTTTGCACAGACAGAAGAGTTTGACCCATACGCTGGTCCAAAAGTAGAATTGTGAAATGCCATCTTGACCCCGGTATGAATAAAGGGCATAAAGTATTCAGGTTATTCATGCACCAGAGAAAGCAAGTAGAGAAAAAAAAAAAATATACCTACAATTGTTATAAAAGCAAATAAATAAATAATCAATGGTTAATTTTGCCCTTATTCACTCATCGCCAACTCAGGTTCAGTCAGACAGTAAGACTAGACCTGTTTTTAGACTGAAGGCAGTGAAGTAAATACTACGCCAACACAAAAAATAATCCCCTGCAACTGCGTGAACACATTTTAATACACTGTCACCCACACAGCCAGCAGGGAACCAACTGACCACACGTGCATTTCCAGTTCCCAGACGCAGAAGCAAGCCATTATTGGCAGTGGGTTTTGTTGCCTCTCCTTTACACATCAACAAGCTAGAATCTTGCATGTGGTTGGTTACCGATTCCCAGCTCTGGGGACAGTGAGCAGAAGCAGAGAAGACACCGGACTGCTGAGAACCACTAAGCCACACCCTAAGCAAAAGCAAAGGGAAGGGCAAATAATGCCATTGTTTTAAAGGGATCACATCAAAGCAGAATATACACTGTTCTTTGCTGAAAGATCTATAAGCAAAACATATATGGATGTATGTGAGGATGTGCATCTCTTAGCTGTATATGCTCTTTTAAATTACATTTCCATTCAGCCCACAGAGAGCAAAGATTTTTCAGTACACCTTACTTAGTACTGCAAAAGGAAAAAAAAAAAGCAGCTCTTTATTTCCTGTCATTTTCCAAGTTATATTTTTGTTTTCCTGACGCTTAAATTTCACCCAAAATAACTTCCACAGTAGCGTTTAAAAAGCATATTTAGCAAGCACTGAGTTTTTCAGGCTGAATCATAACCATTTAACATTCAAAGCAGACAGTAATGGCCATATTTCTTTGTTTCCCCAACAACAAAAAAAAGTAAAAAGCAAAATAAGATGGAAAAACAAGAGTAGGAAAGTGAAAAACCACATAATTTATACATCCCTAAAGAATATTAAAATTAATTTCTGTGTCTTTAAATCATAGTGACTTTTCATTAATTTCAGTACAGGCACCTTACGGCATAGTTCAAAGACATATAAACTATGGGATATATGATGTGATATCCGAAGAGTCACAAGTGTCTTTCTGAACCTGTATACAACATTCAATCGTTAAGAGTTTCTCTCCACAGTATCTGCCAAATCAGTATGGAGGAACAGGAAAAAGAAAAGAGGCTTCCTCAAACATGAAGCAAAAAGGAGTTACCAAATTTGGCTGCTACCTAGTCTCTGTATTAACATGCACATTTATTATTACTAGCAATAATTTCAGTTAAAAGAGAAATGGGGGGAAAAAAAAAGATAATAAAAATATCCCACTTAGCTGAAACGCTACATTTACTCTCTCACAGCTTGACTCCACTTGCACAGGAATCTGTTCCCAGGCTCTGATCCAAATCCACAGAAGTCAGGGATTGCTTAACTCCATAGGGTCACCATATAGTGGGGCCTGGGTTGAAACTGGGGTGAGGGATTGTTCCATTTTCCCAGAAGACACTTGAAAAGTACTAACTACTTTGGAATATTTGGTCTGCAGATAGAAAACAAATACGCTTAGCAAAACTCAGAACTTGTTAAATGTTTGGGTGCTGAAAGGCCTGCGCCTGTATTTGAAGCATGACTTGAAGCCACAAAAAGCACCGCCTGCGGGGGCGATTCATGCGAATCGCAGGAACAGCTGCCTACCTAGGTGAAAATGAAAGACCTTCCCTTCCTCCTACACCCCAAAAGGACTTGATGTCATTCCTATACTTCAAAAACCACATTAAGATCAACTTGTTTCCCAGATACTTTTGTCACTATAACTTCGTATCACAGTTTCTCCAGTGGCAAAGCTTCTTTACGAGGTTTCCATGCTCCAACTCTCCCATCCCCTCCCACTCAGCTACCCCAGCATTTCAGCGAGGCTGTCTGAAGCCAAAGTTCAGAAACAGCTACATCAGCAGAGCTCAACAGTTAAGCGTGGGGGGAACGACAAAAACCTCTTAAAGCAATTCTGCAGAAAATATCCACTATGGAACTGCACACATCCTCTTGTTAGCTAAATATAAAGTTTAACAAAACTCCCATCTTGTTCCAGACACAATCTTTATTTAGAAATCTTACAAAAATCAAATCAGATGGCACATTTACAGCTTCTGCCACATAAATATCCCTCACAAGGCTGGGGAATGAAAGAACAACATCCTGACAGAGTAGAAGAATAAAAGAGAAAATTCATTCAGTTCACCGTAGTCTGTCACCAGTGCAGAGGAAAACAATAATACCCTAAACCACAAGAACAGGGAGTAAAGACCATGAATCCACATCCCTTAATACCATCAGGTATTATGTGGAAAGTTAAATATGACCTAGATCAGGTGCAAACACATAATCACAACACTCAAGAAAAATTAACCAAATTGTACTATATAGCATTTATGACAGCTGCCAGAGGACACAAAATACCTGATTTAGTAAGTGTGAGGAAAAAACTACTGCAAAATTGTTAAGTTGGGGTTTTTAAATACATTTCAACAGGTGGAAAATTCTGTACAGGTTCTGTGCATCAAGTTGTCACAGGTTTTGTTTTATTTGAGTTTGTTGATCCAGTTTCTTATCTTCATCTCAAGGAACTACAGCTTCAATGAAATACATACTTATAACATATCACACAACTTTGCAAACCTGTACAAAAATTGGGTTAATTGCAGCACTACCTACTGCATCATATTTCTCAGTATCCTTTTTCTTCAAAACCTCAGCTATGCCAAATAAGAAAAGTACTTTCTTCAAATGAGGATGGAACATAATTGCATACAGGTATTTAAAAATATCTATCTTGACACTGTCTCACAGTCAACACTAACATTACTGCGAGCAAGCGGTACCCAGCACTCCCATGTTAAAGCTTATACATACCTACCTTTAGGCTATTTACACATTTGAAGGAATATTTGCACTTCTTTGACTTCCATTTTCCCTTCCCCCAGCTTTTTCTTCCCGGTGCGTTTGGAGTGTTTGTTGGTGTATCAGGGCGTTCAGTGTTAGTACCGCTTTCAATACTAACGGCATCATCCTGAAAACATTCAAATTATATAGAATGTAATAAAGGTAACATTAACTGCTGTATAAATTCAACTAATTTTTCAGCGCTTGGCCTTTTCACTTTTTCTCCTCTGTAAGAACAGATCTCCTAGGACCTGGTGTTATTTAGATTCACATATTTAAATCTATTACTAACATAATAGCATTCCTCCCAAGAAACAGAACATGAGTCATATGAGGACTAATCCAAGAGGGAGAGACAATGAACTATGATCTAGTGAAGTTTCTTCAGAATACTGGTAGTTGCTCTTAAGAAAATGTCTAAAGATAAGTGGTCGCTTTCCCTAGGAAACATCTCTGACGTAGATGAAATGAGTACTTCAGAATTACTCAAGGAAGAGGTTGGTTTTATAAAAACATTATGCTTAGCCATACCAAGAGTCTAACTGATCCGACACTTCTATACACCCTCAGCAGCATCAGGCACAGCACAGCTCTGCAATGTCAGCATTGCCACTAGAAGAGGAAGTCCTACCTCTCCCTCCCGCTCTTTCCTACTGATCTTTGCTTCAACTAAAAGCTAAGTTTAAAAAAAAGAAAAAAAACAAAACACACAAAACAAAACCAAAAATAAAATTAGCTGATCAGACAGCAAGCTAACTAATCCAACGGGCCCTCTAACCATCAGCAGCCAGGGCTAAGGTAAGGACAGGGAGAACTGGAAAAAAAAGAGGTGCACAAAACAACCCACCCACTCACTGAGCAGCTTTCGATCAGCTTTCGACAAATAACAGCAGGACACTACTCAAAAGGACATTTCTATTCTCTGCATCACCCATCACAGTGAACTTCAACTTCACCCACATCATAACTGGCAACCCTGTGTTTCCATATAAGTAAGTTCAGCTTGTTAAAAATCAACTTTTTTTTATTTTTCTGGCAAGGTATTCTGTTCAGTTTACATCAGAGTAGTGAGGCAAAACAACTCATCCAGAGGCCATGCGATTTCTAGATCTGAGCTAAGGGAGACAGAGGCAGACAATAGCCTGTCACTGGGAGAGATTAAGTGTAACATGAAGCTGCATCAGGAACTCCACTAGGAATATGAAATAAGGTCAGCTATAAACATTAATACACCACATCCCACGAAACATTTATTCCCTGTCCCAGTTTTATATCTGTATCATCAGAAGCCAGTAGAGGGGTACTGGTCTTTGTTTGCCCAACAACTCTGAAAATCAGGACACTGAGAGGTGGAAAAGGAAGAAAAAGAACACACAAGCCTGTAAGTGAACTGCCCAAATCTGGAGTTATTCCCTTCATGTTGCACCCCTAAAAGAGCCAACCCTCCCCTAACACGCAGAAGGAGTTTAACAATTTTTACATTTTCCAGTTTCTTCTCCTTTACGCTAAGAAATTTCAGACCTTGCCAAGTTCTGGTCTCCCAAGAACAGCTGCTAGCCAGAGCTGTAATACTTCACAAGACTGAAGTTTTCTCTGGAGTAGTCAGATATTGTCAATATAGAAACAACAGGTACATGGCATGATGTAACTACACTGAGTACCTGCAACTACAACACAGCCAACAAACTTGCAGCCAGGATACCTGTGGAACAGAATACACCCTTTCTCCAAATCAACACTATTTTGCCAACTTTTAAACAGAATCCCTGTCTTTCAGGAGTAGAGGAGTCCAGTAACAAACTCTTGAAAAGGGGTTCCTTTCACCATTGAGACAGCCCACCTCCCATGGTCACTGACAGCCTACAACACACACCAAAGCAAACCTGAATGCCTTTGTCACAAAATTACACTTGGGTTCACAAAAGCTGCTGAGCAGTAAAAAAAAAAGTCAGTAGCAGTGATACGGAGCACCCTGAACCTGTCTGACGCCTCACAAGCAGCACTTCCACAGGTTATGGGGGATGTGGTCCAGATCCCTCACTTTCTGGGTAAGTGCTCTAACTAGAAAACTCCTCACACTGCATAAAACTAATACCCAAATAAGATCCCCCATTCAGTAGTCACATAACAGGATTGCTAGATATTGGAGACTGTCTTTCAAGTATCAAGCTATGCTATATTAATCACATTACCTTTGTTCTGAACACTAGACTGTAGCCTAACTTAGAGATTAGAGCCCTCAGCGCCGGCCACCGCCTTCTGCTGACAGGCAGCTTATGAGCACTATCCCCTACTCCTCATTCAAAGGGCTGCACATATAAATTTATGCTGCAGGTTACTCTGAAACGTGACCGTGAAGACGCGTGACACAAAACTGCAAGAAAGATGGAAAATGTTGCTGTTTTGCAGCAGAGGGAAAAAAAAAAAAAAAGTAAGTCTGACATTGTGAAGCAGACTTTGAGAGTCTGGGCCTCAAATTCTCCCTCACCCACGTGGAGAAACAGCGAGTGTCTCACCCCCAGACCCACGCGGGTCTCTCCCACCGGGGCCTCCCGCCTGCATCGAGGGGCAGC